TTCTCATTGATATCCAATCTAGTGAGTAAACACCACCAGCATCCTTTCAATCTGCCAAAAGCACATTCAGCTGTTATTCTGCACCTACTGAGTCAATAGCTGAATTTTCCTTGGTGTTGTCAGTGTACAGCTTCTTGAACCAAGGGTACGCTGGGTCCCCCAGGATCACTATTGGCATTTCAGCATCACCAAAGGTAATCCACCAGCTGGGAAAGAAAGTCCCTGCTTACATCTTTCTGAACAGTCCTGTGTTCTTAAAGATGCAGACATCATGCACGTTCCCTGACCAGCCAACACCGATATCCATGAAGTATCCCTGTTAATCCACCAATACTTGCAAAACCACAGAAAAGTTGATATATTCTGTAATTATACTCTGTGGTGAGGTGGTCTGGTGCCAAAATAGGGATATGCATGCTGTCTATTGCCTGACTGCAGTCTGGGAACCCCATTGCCGCAAATCCATCCACTGTGTCCTGCACATTGGTGAGAGGTGCAGTCAGGACCAGATTTACGTGCAAGTGACCCAGGCGACTGCCTAGGCTTAGGGGGTGCCAGGCTTGGGATGCTGTTTTTGTTGTTAGTGACTGTGATGGCGTTCACTCACCACTGTGGTGGCTCCGGCTGGCTGTCCTGGGGATTAGCTCCTTTCGTGGTGCCTCGCTGCCATCACTTTTGTGACGCACCACTCCCAGAACTGCAGCAACCTCTTCAGTGACTCTGTGCTTCCCCCCTTCCAGGGACAGTATCGCAGTCCCTCAGTCCAACCACTTCCTCAGTGGGAGTTGGGGCTGGGGGGACCCAGGCCCGCCCTCTACTCCAGGTTTCAGCCCAGGGACCCCGTAGATGGCCACCACTTGCTGTATCCCTTCCAACTCCTCTGTAGGCCTCCCTGGGCCACTTCCCTGCAGCAGCCTCTTTGCCCTTCCCTCAGGGCCTCAGCCTGAAGATTCCTGCAGCCCACCAGGAGCTGCCTTTAGCTCCCTGGGTCTCTGCCTGCAGCACTGCTATGTCCAGGGTGCTTGCTGCCCTCCACCTGCAAGGTAGCCAGTCCTCCTCTCTTTTCAGGCTCCAGGGGGTGACTGAAGCTGCTCTGTACAGCAGCTCTTCTTATATGGGCCTGCCCAGCACTGATTGGCTACTCCTATAAACCCTTCTCTAATTGGCTGCCTCCTGAGCAGCCTCCCTAGGGCTCTATTAAGCCCCTATGGACCAGAGGCCCCATCACAGTGACAAAGGGAAAATAGAATGTTTGAAGTAAAATGTTTCAGGTATTCTGTATGTAGATTAATTTTTCACCAACCTCCTAGAATGTTTTGGACCTTTGTTGAATCTTGTGGAAGCTTTTAGAGTTTCTGAGAACTACATTTTCCTTGAACCTCCTTAAATGTTGTCAGCCATGCCCTTGTGGCTATATAAGGGGCAGAGCGTTGCCTGTCAGTCAATGAGATATAAGAATTAAGTGAAGTGAGAGCCCAGCTGCAAGATTGTGAACCTTCTTTTATTGTGTAAGTGTACTTGTGTTTTGACTTGAAGAATGTAAATAGCAATTAATAAAGGACATATTTAATGAGATGCCAGCACCTCATGTAACAGACCGTGGACCCAGTGGCGCAGCACCTCCTGCTGGTCATCTAGGAATTAGCTCTTTTCCAACCTCAGAGCACCCTCTGCTGGCCAGAGACCCACTTGCCTCAGGTCCCATGTCCCTCCCAGGCCCCGGTGCCCCTTACCTTGGGGTGCTGCCCCACAACAGTCCCCACACTCTGGGTCTCCCCTCCCAAGGGAACCCCCAACCCTCTACACCCACCTTGTCTCAGTGGCTACTGCCAGTCATCATCATCTAGTCCCCTCTCACTGGGGCAGACTACAGTCTGTAAAGGCCGCTCATCATTGGCAAGGAGGTTGGACCAGCTGTCTCTACCTATTCCCAGGCTGTATCTCTGCAGCCCCAGTACCTCTGTAGGCCTTCAACAATGCCTTCAGCCTGGGGAGTTGCCAGGCTAGAGCTCCCAAGCACTGCTCCAGTTCAGGTACCCTCCTCTCAGGGTATGTCTACACTACGGAATAAGGTCGAATTTATAGAAGTCGTTTTTTTTTAGAAATCGGTTTTATATATTCGAGTGTGTGTGTCCCCACAGAAAATGCTCTAAGTGCATTAAGTGCATTAACTCGGCGGAGTGCTTCCACAGTACCGAGGCTAGAGTCGACTTCCGGAGCGTTGCACTGTGGATAGCTATCCCACAGTTCCCGCAGTCTCCGCTGCCCATTGGAATTCTGGGTTGAGATCCCAATGCCTGATGGGGCTAAAACATTGTCGCGGGTGGTTCTGGGTACATATCATCAGGCCTCCGTTCCCTCCCTCCCTCCGTGAAAGCAAGGGCAGACAATCGTTTCGCGCCTTTTTTCCTGAGTTACCTGTGCAGACGCCATACCACGGCAAGCATGGAGCCCGCTCAGGTAACCGTCACCCTATGTCTCCTGGGTGCTGGCAGACGCGGTACGGCATTGCTACACAGTAGCAGCAACCCCTTGCCTTGTGGCAGCAGACGGTACAGTATGACTGGTAGCTGTCATCGTCATGTCCGAGGTGCTCCTGGCCACGTCGGCTGGGAGCGCCTGGACAGACATGGGCGCAGGGACTAAATTTGGAGTGACTTGACCAGGTCATTCTCTTTAGTCCTGCAGTCAGTCCTATTGAACTGGTGAGCAGGCAGGTGATACGGATTGCTAGCAGTCGTACTGTACCATTTTCTGCCGGGCAGGCAAAAGATGGGGATGGCTAGCAGTCGTACTGTACCATCTTCTGCCGGGCAGGCAAGAGATGAGGATGGCTAGCAGTCGTACTGTACCATCTTCTGCCGAGCAGCCATGAGATGTGGATGGCATGCAGTCCTTCTGCACCGTCTGCTGCCAGCCAAAGATGTAAAAGATAGATGGAGTGGATCAAAACAAGAAATAGACCAGATTTGTTTTGTACTCATTTGCCTCCTCCCGTGTCTAGGGGACTCATTTCTCTAGGTCACACTGCAGTCACTCACAGAGTAGGTGCAGCGAGGTAAATCTAGCCATGTATCAATCAAAGGCCAGGCTAACCTCCTTGTTCCAATAAGAACAATAACTTAGGTGCACCATTTCTTATTGGAACCCTCCGTGAAGTCCTGCCTGAAATACTCCTTGATGTAAAGACACCCCCTTTGTTGATTTTAGCTCCCTGAAGCCAACCCTGTAAGCCGTGTCGTCAGTCGCCCCTCCCACCGTCAGAGCAACGGCAGACAATCGTTCCGCGCCTTTTTTCTGTGCGGACGCCATACCAAGGCAAGCATGGAGGCTGCTCAGCTCACTTTGGCAATTAGGAGCACATTAAACACCACACGCATTATCCAGCAGTATATGCAGCACGAGAACCTGGCAAAGCGATACCGGGCGAGGAGGTGACGTCAGCGCGGTCACGTGAGTGATCAGGACATGGACACAGATTTCTCTGAAAGCATGGGCCCTGCCAATGCATGCATCATGGTGCTAATGGGGCAGGTTCATGCTGTGGAACGCCGATTCTGGGCTCGGGAAACAAGCACAGACTGGTGGGACCGCATAGTGTTGCGGGTCTGGGACGATTCCCAGTGGCTGCGAAACTTTCGCATGCGTAAGGGCACTTTCATGGAACTTTGTGACTTGCTTTCCCCTGCCCTGAGGCGCATGAATACCAAGATGAGAGCAGCCCTCACAGTTGAGAAGCGAGTGGCGATAGCCCTGTGGAAGCTTGCAACGCCAGACAGCTACCGGTCAGTTGGGAATCAATTTGGAGTGGGCAAATCTACTGTGGGGGCTGCTGTGATGCAAGTAGCCCACACAATCAAAGATCTGCTGATATCAAGGGTAGTGACCCTGGGAAATGTGCAGGTCATAGTGGATGGCTTTGCTGCAATGGGATTCCCTAACTGTGGTGGGGCCATAGACGGAACCCATATCCCTATCTTAGCACCAGAGTACCAAGCCGCCGAGTACATAAACCGCAAGGGGTACTTTTCGATAGTGCTGCAAGCTCTGGTGGATCACAAGAGCTTTCACCAACATCAACGTGGGATGGCCGGGAAAGGTACATGATGCTCGCATCTTCAGGAACTCTGGTCTGTTTCAAAAGCTGCAGGAAGGGACTTTCTTCCCAGACCAGAAAATAACTGTTGGGGATGTTGAAATGCCTATATGTATCCTTGGGGACCCAGCCTACCCCTTAATGCCATGGCTCATGAAGCCGTACACAGGCAGCCTGGACAGTAGTCAGGAGCTGTTCAACTACAGCTGAGCAAGTGCAGAATGGTGGTAGAATGTGCATTTGGACGTTTAAAGGCACGCTGGCGCAGTTTACTGACTCGCTTAGACCTCAGCGAAACCAATATTCCCACTGTTATTACTGCTTGCTGTGTGCTCCACAATATCTGTGAGAGTAAGGGGGAGACGTTTATGGCGGGGTGGGAGGTTGAGGCAAAGCGCCTGGCTGCTGGTTACGTGCAGCCAGATACCAGGGCGGTTAGAAGAGCACAGGAGGGCGCGGTACGCATCAGAGAAGCTTTGAAAACCAGTTTCATGACTGGCCAGGCTACGGTGTGAAAGTTCTGTTTGTTTCTCCTTGATGAAACCCCCCGCCCCTTGGTTCACTCTACTTCCCTGTAAGCTAACCACCTGCCCCTCCTCCCTTCAATCACCGCTTGCAGAGGCAATAAAGTCATTGTTGCTTCACATTCATGCATTCTTTATTCATTCATCACACAAATAGGGGGATGACTACCAAGGTAGCCCAGGAGGGGTGGTGGAGGAGGGAAGGAAAATGCCAGACAGCACTTTAAGCACAGCACTTTAAAAGTTTACAACTTTAAAATTTATTGAATGACAGCCTTCTTTTTTTTGGGCAATCCTCTGTGGTGGAGTGGCTGGTTGGCCGGAGGCCCCCCCTCCGCGTTCTTGGGCGTCTGGGCGTGGAGGCTATGGAACTTGGGGAGGCGGGCGGTTGGTTACACAGGGGCTGTAGTGGCAGTCTGTGCTGCAGCTGCCTTTGCTGCAGCTCAACCATGCACTGGAGCATACTGGTTTGGTCCTGCAGCAGCCTCAGCATTGAATCCTGCCTCCTCTCATCACGCTGCCGCCACATTTGAGCTTCAGCCCTCTCTTCAGCCCGCCACTTACTCTCTTCAGCCCGCCACCTCTCCTCCCGGTCATTTTGTGCTTTTCTGCACTCTGACATTATTTGCCTCCACGCATTCGTCTGTGCTCTGTCAGTGTGGGAGGACAGCATGAGCTCGGAGAACATTTCATCGCGAGTGCATTTTTTTTTTCTTTCTAAGCTTCACTAGCCTCTGGGAAGGAGAAGATCCTGTGATCATTGAAACACATGCAGCTGATGGAGAAAAAAAAAAGGGACAGCAGTATTTATGTAAGCAGTGTCAGGATGAGCTCCACCCTGACATCTGGTGGTGAGGTGTGGCAAGTTGTGGAAAAGAACTTCAGGGGCCAATCTCATTTGCATAGGCACACCCACCCCGCCTAGAATGAGACCATAGCTGCCCAAATGGTCACTTTGGCTGCTGTGGGATCCCCAGTGTCTCTGTTATTGGGGCAGGAAGAATAAATTGTTATTACCCTGATTATGGGAACTGTGCTTGGAACTGTACGTGGCCTTTTGTTATGATGGAGGGATTCACCATCAACTAAGTAGCACTCGCTAGGCAAGGGTCATGGGTTCCAAAACTGTGTGAAGGGAGAGAGGCTGGGGACAAGTATTAATACTTGGTGGCATGGGCCCCTTGGTGAGGGCCTTACGTGCTAATTGCACTTCCTCCTCTCTCCACTGTGAAATATCAGAGCTAATTTTGATTTCATTAGAAGTCTAGTTATAGGCTGCTGAGCTCACTTTGGGCTGACAGTGCACCAGCACTGGGGCTCCCCTACTACAAGCTGAATTCACCTAAGAGCTGAAATCACTGAGTGTTGTGTTAAGTAGTGGGGGAGCCTGAAGATATATTGTGGAGCAGTTTGTGGGGCGGCTGGAGTGCCTTGCAGACCGGCTGGTGAAGCAGTTCGACATGGAGCAGTTTGTGGATGGCAGGAGCTGCTTGCGGGCCGTGGAGCTGAGCGAAGGAGTTCGTGGGGCGGCTGGCGGAGCAGAGCGCAGCTGAGTGAAGGAGTTCGGGGGGCGGCTGGCGGAGCGGAGCGCCGCTATGGAGCTATGGGGCGGTCAGCTTCAGATCATGTAAGGTGCCTCTTACCCCCGTCCCGTTTCCACCCAGGTTGGGAGGTAAAGCTCCGCAGATAAACTTTCGAACTCTGGGGCTGCCCTGACCAGGGACAGAGACTTTTGGGGCATTGGACTTTTGGGACTTTGGGTGATTTGGGATTGCTGGACTCAAGAACCAAAGGGAAAAGGGCATGCCCCAATTTGCTTGGGGTGGGTTTTTTTTTTTGCTCATGGGTTGTGTTATGAATCCTGTTGGTGGTGTTTCCCCAACATAATGCCACATTGTTTCTCTCTGTTATTAAAAGGCTTTTGCTACACTCAGACTATGTGCTTGCGAGAGGGGAAGTATTGCCTCTTGGAGGCGCCCAGCGGGGGTGGTATATATTTGTCCCAGGTCACTGGGTGGGGGCTCGAGCCGGTTTGCATTGTGTTATTGGAATGGATCCCCTAGATATTGAACCCGGCCCTTGTTGCTGCCAACTCTGACGGGCAGAAGGGTTACATTTAAAAAGACACATTTTATAAAACAGTGGCTACACTCTTTCAGGGTAAACCTTGCTGTTAACATTACATACATAGCACATGTGCTTTCGTTACAAGGTCGCATTTTGCCTCCCCCCACCGCGTGGCTACCCCCTCAACCTTCCCCCCTCCCTGTGGCTAACAGCGGGGAACATTTCTGTTTAGCCACAGGCAAACAGCCCAGCAGGAATGGGCTCCTCTGAGTGTCCCCTGAAGAAAAGCACTCTATTTCAACCAGGTGACCATGAATTATATCTCACTCTCCTGAGGATAACACAGAGAGATAAAGAACGGATGTTGTTTGAATGCCAGCAAACATACACTGCAATGCTTTGTTCTACAATGATTCCCGAGTACGTGTTACTGGCCTGGAGTGGTAAAGTGTCCTACCATGAAGGACGCAATAAGGCTGCCCTCCCCAGAAACCTTTTGCAAAGGCTTTAGGAGTACATCTAGGAGAACCGCGAATGCCAGGGCAAAGTAATCCTTTCACATGCTTGCTTTTAAACCATGTATAGTATTTTAAAAGGTACACTCACCAGAGGTCCCTTCTCCGCCTGCTGGGTCCAGGAGGCAGCCTTGGGTGGGTTCGGGGGTACTGGCTCCAGGTCCAGGGTGAGAAACAGTTCCTGGCTGTCGGGAAAACCGGTTTCTCCGCTTGCTTGCTGTGAGCTATCTACAACCTCCTCCTCATCATCATCTTCTTCGTCCCCAAAACCTGCTTCCGTATTGCCTCCATCTCCATTGAAGGAGTCAAACAACACGGCTGGGGTAGTGGTGGCTGAACCCCCTAAAATGGCATGCAGCTCATCATAGAAGCGGCATGTTTGGGGCTCTGACCCGGAGCGGCCGTTCGCCTCTCTGGTTTTCTGGTAGGCTTGCCTCAGCTCCTTCAGTTTCACGCGGCACTGCTTTGGGTCCCTGTTATGGCCTCTGTCCTTCATGCCCTGGGAGATTTTGACAAAGGTTTTGGCATTTCGAAAACTGGAACGGAGTTCTGATAGCACGGATTCCTCTCCCCATACAGCGATCAGATCCCGTACCTCCCGTTCGGTCCATGCTGGAGCTCTTTTGCGATTCTGGGACTCCATCATGGTCACCTGTGCTGATGAGCTCTGCATGGTCACCTGCAGCTTGCCACGCTGGCCAAACAGGAAATGAGATTCAAAAGTTTGCGGTTCTTTTCCTGTCTACCTGGCCAGTGCATCTGAGTTGAGAGTGCTGTCCAGAGCGGTCACAATGGAGCACTCTGGGATAGCTCCCGGAGGCCAATACCATCGAATTGTGTCCACAGTACCCCAAATTCGAGCTGGCAAGGCCGATTTAAGCGCTAATCCACTTGTCAGGAGTGGAGTAAGGAAATCGATTTTAAGAGCCCTTTAAGTCGAAATAAAGGGCTTCATCGTGTGGACGGGTGCAGGTTTACATCGATTTAATGCTGCTAAATTCAACCTAAAGTCCTAGTGTAGACCAGGGCTCAGGCAGCTAGATTCTTCTCACTCCAGGGCTAGAGTGAGACTCTGCTCACTCCTAGCCCTCTTATCACGGCCAGCTGGGCCCTGATTGAGCAGGCCACACCTTTGGTCAGCTACTCCCTCAGCTGCTCTCACTCCTTATCCCAGCCACAGCCCTCTCCAGGGCTGCTTTCAACCCCTGTTCTTCAGGAATGGGGCAGCTACCCCACTGCAGGGAGAGGTCAGTCTGCTTGGGTTGCCCTGCTGGCTGGGCCTCCTCTCTGGCTGCTGCTGGCTGGAACCCTCTCCTTCCCTGGGCTGTTGCTGCTTCTGCTGGCTGGAGTCTCCCGCACTCCCCCAGCTGCGTTTGGCTGGTGGGGCCCTTCCCTGCTGTCCTCCCCAGCCTCCCTGTGTTAGTTTGCCTCTCCCACCCTGCACCCTGCCCCTCCCACTACTTGCTTTGACCCTTCGGGAGTTCCCCTTCTGTTAGTTTGTCTCTCCCGCCCCAGCCCTTCTGTGTTTGCTACCTGCCCCGCCCCAAACTTTAAATTTTAGTTTGGTTGCCTGCCCCACCCTTCCCGTTGTAGTTCCCATTTGTGATTTGCCTAGCTTTCCCTTTTTCCCACTGTCCTCCCTTGCTCCCTCTGGTTCAGTTCCTTATCTCTGTACGCCCATGCCCCCTCCATAAGCACTTGTGCCCCTTTCAGTTGCCCCCCCACCCACTGTTCACAGCCTTCCTAATAGAATTGTAATCCCTCCCCTTCCCAGTGCAGCCGGAGGAGCCAGTATCCCTGTCCCATAACTGTGCCCCCACCCCCTTTTTTGCCCCTGCCAGCACCCTCCTCCCCTGCCTGCAGCCTAGCAGGGAGGAGTGGTTGCTTTTTCCCTTTCCCCTGCCCTTGAGATGCCCTCCTCTCCTGCCTACAGCTCAGCAGGGAGGAGTGGGTGGTCTCTCCCCTCCCACAGGACCCTCCTTCCCTACTTACAGTTTAGCAGGAAGGTGTGGTTACTTGTTCCCTTGCTCCCCCTTCCCCATTCCATCTCCTGCAGTGCCTCCCCCTTCCCTGAATAGAGTTTAGCAGGGAGGAGTAGTCGCCCACTCCCCACCCCATCCCCCCACCCCTCCTGTTAGCGCTCTCCTCCCCTGCGTGTTGCCTAGCGGGGAGGAGTGGCTGCCCATCGCCCCAACCCCATATTAAGGTCTCCTCCTGTCTTTTGCCATCATGGAGGAGGACCCTGCCCCTGCTGACATCGTGGTTGCCCCCTTGCCACCACCCCTGCCTGCTCCTCGGCCACCACTAGCCCAGACTCCGCCGCTGCCATGACCACCCCTTCCACTGGCAAAAAGGGCCAGGAGAATAAAAAGGGCAAAGGCCCTGCCCGGAAAACAGAATCTCCTGCCAGCAGGTCTGTCCTTCCTGCCATGGCTCTGACACCTGCTGCGGCCCCTCCTTCCCCAGCCATTCCCTCCACCAGCTCTGGGGGCACTCCATCCCTAGCGCCCAGAGCATATGCCCAGGTGGCCGCCGCCCTGCCACGCACCACCGTGCCATCTGCCCCAACTGCCATCTCCAGTAACATCTCTGGCGGCCGGTCCCTTCCCCTCGCTGACCAGGAGGCAAGGCGTCTGCTGCCTCCTGGTGCCCACCTTGCCCCACGTCAAAACATACATGTGGGCGCTGGCGAGGTTGGTGGGGCCCACGGCCAGCATGGCGGCCTCCAAGATGTATGATAAAGTTGTGTTCTTCCTAGCATTGGAGGCCACCGCTCAGGAGGTGGTAGAGAAGGGCCTGGCGATGGGGGGGCGTATTCGTCCCCCTAGAACACCTGGAGGACTTGGGCATACGGGTGGTATTGACCTCCATCCCACCCTTCCTGCCCAACACTGCCCTGTTGCCTGTCCTGTCCACCCTGGGGAAATCCATCTCCGTCATCAGCCCTCTCCCGCTGGGCTGCAAGGACCCTGCCCTCCTTCATGTCCTGTCTTTTCTCCGGGAGGTGCAGATTCAAGTGCCACTGGTGACGCATGGCGCTTGAGGGGTCCTTCCTGGTGCTCAATACCGGGTCCATTATTCAACGGGGGAGGCCCGGTGCTTCCTCTACTGGGCGATGGGGCATGTCTGGAGGTACTGCCCTCTGGCCTGGTTGGAGGGACGCCCGGGCCCCCCGAGATGCAGGAGGGCACCGGCACAGTCACCGCCGGCAATCCTGTCAGCCTGGCTGCCGCTGCCTATCCTCCCGTGCCCCAGAACCCTTGCCCCCTGGCCCTGCCCACCAGCCTTCCACCTCCACCTTGGAGGGCTCGGTGTTCGTCCAGGGGAAGCGTGGCGCCCGCAAATCGCGGGCATGATCCCTCCCCTCCAACGAGGAGGGAGAGGAGGCCCCCTGAAAGATGCTGCGGGCGGCTGACGTCACTACGTCTTCCACTGCACCCCGGAAGGAGCCCAGCAGGAGAGTTTGCCATGGAAGCCATGGCAGCGGACGGAGACACCACCGCCTCCCTTGCTGAGTCCCCCCTGAGGATGCCTCTGCGGAAGTTCCCAAAGCCTCTATACCACCTGTGCCCCCTGCTGCCGCCAATACTGGGGCAATCGTTGCCCCTGTGACTGGCGGGAGGTCGCCGGAGCCGCGGGGACTGAATTCACCTCAATATTTGACGAGATTGGGGCCCTGGGTCTGACCCCGGTCACCCAGGGGGAGGATGACCCTCTGCCAGCAGGCCTCGATCTGGGAGGCGGCTTACTCCCTCCGCCCCCTCCTCCCCCCTGCCCCTTACCCCCAACTGTTGTCCCCGCTCTGGTGCTTGGGGCACCCCTGGCCTTTCTTTCTCCCCGGCCGTGGATGGCACCTTGTCCAAGGCCGCCGAGCCCCTCGGGGCAACAGCTGAGGCCGAGTGGCCAGGCCTTAGGCCTGTGGGCGCACCCTCCACCGCCCAGACAGAGCGGTTGGCCTCCCCTTCGGAGGGGTGCCCCCACTGTAGATCCCATCGTACCTGGCGCCGTGGCTGCAGGTAACGCTCTTGTCATGATGCCCGTGCCTGGCATTGCAGAAGGCCCACCTTCTGCCCTGACCCTTTAGTCCATAACCCTGGCCGAGAGAAGCCGCACCCTGGCAGCTCGGCTGCCGGGGATCATGAACCCACCTCTGTTCCCGCTCCTGCCCCTATCCCTGCTCCTAATCCTGCTCCAGTCCCCTCTCCTGCCCCAGCCCCAATATCAGTCCTTGTCACTGCTCCCACCCCTTGTTCTGCCCTAGTCTCCGTTCCTGACTTTGATCCAGTTCCTGCCCCTCTCCCATCCCAGCCCCCACATCGGTCCCTGCCCCTGCTCCCACTCCTTATCCTGACTCAGTCTCTGCTCCTGCCCCTGATCCTTTTTTGCCCCCCTCTCCCGTCCCAACCCCAGGCTCAGCCCCTGCTCCTGCTCCCGCCTCTTCTCCTGCCCTAGCCGTTGTTCCTGCTCCCACCCCTCCTTCTGCCCTACTCTTGAGTCCACGTGCTGGCTTTGCCGGGCTTGGGCCACTGCAGCAGCTTGGCAGGGAGGAGCTACCTTCCAGAGGCACCGGAGACCCAGAGTGTCCTGCTTGCGGCCGCAGCGAGCCCCAGCCATGGAGGAGCTGGCGTGGCGCAGGGGGGCAGCAGCCCTGCAAAGGCGGCAGCGCCGCTAGTGGGAAGCAGCCACTCCCCCTGCCCCTCCTGCCCAGGCTGTGGCCCGGCACCCCCTCTGGGGGCTCCTGCAGGCTGCAGCGGACACATGCGGGCACCGGCCCCCATGCGCTCTCCCCTCGCCTTGGGTTACCATATTTCAACAATCAAAAAAGAGGACAGGGGAGAGCCCCGCCCCTATTCACTCCCTTGCACTTCCCACCCCATGACTGTGCATCTCATGCCTTCCAGTCGGTGGAGTCTCCTTCTGCTCCCTTCCCTCAGAGAGCAGAAGGAGACTCCGCTGACTGGAAGGCATGAGATGCACTGTCCTAGGGTTGGGGGTTCCACGACCGCCGCTCCCAAGAGGCGGAGGCGGGTGTTGGTGGTCGGGGACTCTTTCCTCAGTGGGACTGAGTCATCTATCTGCCGCCCCGACTGGGAAAACCGAGAAGTCTGCTGCTTGCCAGGAGCTAAGATTCGTGATGTGACGGAGAGACTGCCGAGACACATCAAGCCCTCGGATCGCTACCCCTTCCTGCTTCTCCACGTGGGCACCAATGATACTGCCAAGAATGACCTTGAGTGGATCACTGCAGACTACGTGTCTCTGGGAAGAAGGAAAAAGGAGTTTGAGGCGCAAGTGGTCTTCTCGTCCATCCTCCCCGTGGAAGGAAAAGTCCTGGGTAGAGACTGTCAAATCGTGGAAGTCAACGAATGGCTACGCAGGTAGTGTCGGAGAGAAGGCTTTGGATTCTTTGACCATGGGATGGTGTTTCAAGGAGGAGTGCTAGGCAGAGACGGGCTCCACCTAACAAAGAGAGGGAAGAGCATCTTCGCAAGCAGGCTGGCTAACCTAGTGAGGAGGGCTTTAAACTAGGTTCACCAGGGGAAGGAGACCAAAGCCCTGAGGTAAGTGGGGAAGTGGGATACCAGGTGGAACAACGAGCAGGAGCGCGTGAGAGGGGAGGGCTCCTGCCTCATACTGGGAAAGAGGGGCAATCAGCGGGTTATCTCAAGTGCCTATACACAAATGCACGAAGCCTGGGAAACAAGCAGGGAGAATTGGAAGTCCTGGCACAGTCAAGGAATTATGATGTGATTGGAATAACAGAGACTTGGTGGGATAACTCACATGACTGGAGTACTGTCATGGATGGATATAAGATGTTCAGGAAGGACAGGCAGGGCAGAAAAGGTGGGGGAGTTGCACTGTATGTAAGAGAGCAGTATGACTGCTCAGAGCTCAAATATGAAACTGCAGAAAAACCTGAGTGTCTCTGGATTAAGTTTAGAAGTGTGAGCAACAAGGGTGATGTCGTGGTGGGAGTCTGCTATAGACCACCAGACCAGGGGGATGAGGTGGACGAGGCTTTTTTCCAGCAACTCACGGAAGTTACTAGATCGCAGGCCCTGGTTCTCATGGGAGACTTCAATCACCCTGATATCTGTTGGGAGAGCAATACAGCGGTGCACAGACAATCCAGGAAGGTTTTGGAAAGGGTAGGGGACAATTTTCTGGTGCAAGTGCTGGAGGAACCAACTAGGGGCAGAGCTCTTCTTCACCTGCTGCTCACAAACCGGGAAGAATTAGTAGGGAAGCTAAAGTGGATGGGAACCTGGGAGGCAGTGACCATGAGATGGTCGAGTTCAAGATCCTGACACAAGGAAGAAAGGAAAGCAGCAGAATACGGACCCTGGACTTCAGAAAAGCAGACTTTGACTCCCTCAGGGAACTGATGGGCAAGATCCCCTGGGAGAATAATATGAGGGGGAAAGGAGTCCAGGAGAGCTGGCTGTATTTTAAAGATTCCTTAATGAGGTTACAGGGACAAACCATCCCGATGTGTAGAAAGAATAGTAAATATGGCAGGCAACCAGCTTGGCTTAACAGTGAAATCCTTGCTGATCTCAAATACAAAAAAGAAGCTTACAAGAAGTGGAAGATTGGACAAATGACCAGGTATGAGTATAAAAATATTGTTCGGGGATGCAGGAGTGAAATCAGGAAGGCCAAATCACACCTGGAGTTGCAGCTAGCAAGAGATGTTAAGAGTAACAAGAAGGGTTTCTTCAGGTATGTTAGCAACAAGAAGAAAGTCAAGGAAGAAGAAAGTGTGGGCCCCTTACTGAATGAGGGAGGCAACCTAGTGACAAAGGATGTGGAAAAAGCTAATGTACTCAATGCTTTTTTTGCCTCTGTCTTCACAAACAAGGTCAGCTCCCAGACTGCTGCACTGGGCAGCACAGCATGGGGAGGAGGTGACCAGACCTCTGTGGAGAAAGAAGTGGTTCGGGACTATTTAGAAAAGCTGGACGTGCACAAGTCCATGGGGCCAGATGTGCTGCATCTGAGAGTGCTAAAGGAGTTGGCGGATGTGATTGCAGAGCCATTGGCCATTATCTTTGAAAACTCATGGCGATCGGGGGAACTCCCGGACGACTGGAAAAAGGGTAATGTAGTGCCCATCTTTAAAAAAGGGAAGAAGGAGGATCCTGGGAACTACAGGCCAGTCAGCCTCACCTCAGTCCCTGGAAAAATCATGGAGCAGGTCCTCAAGGAATCAATTCTGAAGCACTTAGAGGAGAGGAAAGTGATCAGGAACAGTCAGCATGGATTCACCAAGGGCAAGTCATTCTTGACTAATCTAATTGCCTTCTATGACGAGATAACTGGCTCTGTGGATGAAGGGAAAGCAGTAGAGGTGTTGTTCCTTGACTTTAGCAAAGCTTTTGACATGGTCTCCCACCGTATTCTTGCCAGCAAGTTAAAGAAGTATGGGCTGGATGAATGGACTATAAGGTGGATAGAAAGCTGGCTAGATTGTCGGGCTCAACGGGTAGTGATCAATGGCTCCAGGTCTAGTTGGCGGCCGGTATCAAGTGGAGTGCCCCAGGGGTCGGTCCTGGGGCCGGTTTTGTTCAATATCTTCATAAATGATCTGGAGGATGGTGTGGATTGCACCCTCAGCAAGTTTGCAGATGACAATAAACTGAGAGGAGAGGTAGATACGCTGGAGGGTAGGGATAGGATACAGAAGGACCTAGACAAATTGGAGGATTGGGCTAAAAGAAATCTGATGAGGTTCAACAAGGACAAGTGCAGAGTCCTGCACTTAGGACGGAAGAATCCCATGCACCGCTACAGACTAGGGACTGAATGGCTCATCAGCAGTTCTGCAGAAAAGGACCTAGGGGTTACAGTGGACGAGAAGCTGGATATGAGTCAACAGTGTGCCTTTGTTGCCAAGAAGGCTAATGGCACTTTGGGATGTATAAGTAGGGGCACTGCCAGCAGATCAAGGGACGTGCTCATTCCCCTCTATTCGACACTGGTGAGGCCTCATCTGGAGTACTGTGTCCAGTTTTGGGCCCCACACTACAAGAAGGATGTGGAAAAATTGGAAAGAGTCCAGTGGAGGGCATCAAAAATGATTAGGGGACTGGAACACATGACTCATGAGGAGAGGCTGAGGGATCTGGGATTGTTTAGTCTGCGGAAGAGAAGAATGAGGGGCAATTGGATAGCTGCTTTCAACTACCTGAAAGGGGGTTCCAAAGAGGATGGATCTAGGCTGTTCTCAGTGGTAGCAGATGACAGAACAAGGAATAATGGTCTCAAGTTGCTGTGGGGGAGATTTAGGTTGGATATTAGGAAATACTTTTTCACTAGGAGGGTGGTGAAACACTGGAATGTGTTACCTAGGGAGGTGTTGGAATCTCCTTCCTTAGAAGTTTTTAAGGTCAGGCTTGACAAAGCCCTGGCTGGGACGATTTAGTTGGGGATTGGTCCTGCTTTGAGCAGGGAGTTGGACTAGATGACCTCCTGAGGTCCCTTCCAACCCTGATATTCTTTGATTCTATGATTCTATGACTGCCCCCCTCAGAACCTCCAACCCCGCCCCTTGTCCCCTGACTGCCCCCTCCTGAGACCCTCCCCACCCTAACTGCCCCCCTAGGAACCTACCCCCTACCTGTCCTTTGACTGTCCCAACCCTTATCCACACCCCCGCCCCCTGACAGGAACCCCAGAACTCCCGACCGATCCAACCCTCCCCCTGCTCCCTGACTGCCCCCCCGGCCAGGACTCTTCTTATCATGCCCATGCCGGTCAGACGCTATCTCCACCTGGAGGTAAAACACGCTGCTGGGCTGCTGTGCACACAGCCCCTCCCCTGCAGAGTGCTGAGGCAGTGGGAGGGGCGGCGGCTGCTCACACGCCCGAGAGCTGCAGAACCCGAGCGCCGTGAGGGCGGAGCTGGGGGGCGCATGGAGGCCACCACCTGCATGCATTTGCTGCAGCCTGTAGGAGCCCCTGCGGGGGGTGGCGCTGGGCCGCAGCCTGGGCAGGAGGGGCAGGGGGCATGGCTGCACCCTGCTAGTGGCACCACCGCCTTTGCAGGGCTGCTGCCCCCGTGCGCTGCGCCAGCTCCTCCATGGCTGGAGCTCACCGCCCCCGCAAGCCTATGCCCTGGCTCTCCGGTGCCTCCGAAAGGCGGCTCCTCCCTGCCGAGCCAGGGCACTGCTTTTTGGCAACCCCAACCACTTGGCGCCCTAGGCAACTGCCTAGTTCACCTAGTGGTTGCACCGGCCCTGGGGCCGGGGCAGGGGTTTGGGGTGCAGGAGGGAGTGTGGGGTATGGGAAGGGGTGCGGTGTGCAGGAATGGTCTCAGGGCAAGGGATGGGGCAGAGGAGGGGTGCGGAGTGTATGAGGGGGCTCAGGGAAGGGGGTTGGGGTGCAGGAGCGGTGCGGACTGCAGGAGGGAGCTCAGGGCAGGGGGTTTGGGGTGCAGGGTGCAACAGGGAGCTCACAGCAGAGAGTTGGGGTGCACTGGGTGCAGGGTGCAGCAGAGGGCTCAGGGCAGGGGTGCAGGAGGGGTGTGAGGTGCAGGTAGGGGGCTCAGGGCAGGGAGTTGGGGGGCAGAGTGCTGGAAGGGTTCTGGCTCTGGCCCGGTGCCGCTTACCTAACATGGCTCCGGGGTGGCAGTGGCGCGCACCGGGGCCAGGGCAGGCTCCCTGCATGCCTGCCCTGGCCCCACACGGCACCACTCCAGGAAGCCACCAGAACCATGTCCCTGCGCGGCCCCTGGGGGAGGGGGGTGGGCACAGGGTTCTGCACGCTGCCCTTGCCACGCCTCCAGGTACCTTCCCCGAAGCTCCCATTGGCCGCGGTTCCCCCTTCCTGGCCAATGGGAGCTGTGGGGGGCGGTGCCTGGAGGCAAGGGCAATGCACAAAGCCCTCTGCCCCCCTACAGGAGCCCCGGGGATGTGCTGTTGGCTGCTTCTGAGAGTGGCCTGGGTCCTGCGGCACCACGGCAGGCAATCCTGCGGGCCAACCCAAGCTTGCCAACCCCTACCATGGACAGAAGGGTGAAGGTGCAGGCTGGAAAGGGCAGTGAAAGTGGGAGACCGAGAGAGGGATGACATTTAAAAAGGAAAATTAAAAAAAATCATTTTGTTCTAAGCAGGGAAGTGGGCATTAATCTGCCCCTTATAAGAGGTGAATCTGGGCGTGGCTGGGACTCAGCCCTACTCCCTGTCTAGCCATGCAGGGTCTGCTTCCCTGCAGCCCCTCCTGGCTAGTCAAGGCTGTGGCCCCACTGAAAGCACTCAGGTTTTGGGAGGTGGCCCCGAGTGCCTGAACCCCACCAGCAGGCATGTGCAGATGAGCAGAATACGGGTGGAGAGAAACCGCTAGGCCAAGTGCTCCTGGCCTGGGATTTTGAGAGTCAAGTCACTGCCTATTTGGAAGCTAAGGGTCAGATTGGAGGGAGGGGAATAGTGTGTATGTGGGGGGTCTATTCAAGCTCCACCCACAACTCCAAGCTCCACCCAGTATCCCAGTGTAGCTTGGTCCTCAGCAGCGAAATAATTTACACTGTCACTAGGTTCCAGAGCTAACACTCCATGAACTCTGTCCCTCTTAACTCCCTGCACAAAGGGGCCTGACTCAGGGGTTCTGGGTGGGGGAAGCCTCTTCCATCCCCTAAATCCACTAACCCAGGGGCATGGTGCTGAGTGGACCCTATGCCAGGGCCCCTTGCACGAGGCTGTGGGGCGTGGAAAGGGGCTTTGGTCAGACTGGCCCCTCTCCCCAGCTCCACTGCGTCTCACAGCCTGCAGGGCTCAAGCACACAGAACCCCTTCCCTCCGCCTGCGGCCACAAAACTACACCTCCCGCAGCCCGTGCTCGTCGCCCGCCGCCTGCCAGCACCTCCCACCGGCCGCGGGGCAGCTCGGGAAATGTAGTTCTATTCGACGGCGACTGGGCTCGGGCGCCATGTTGTGTCTGCCCGGACGAGCAATCAGTGCATGGAAAAGTGTGACGGAACTACAATTCCCATCGTGCCCTGCGCAGAGGGGGAGCTGCTGCTCATGCGCACGAGGTTTCTTCCTTGTTGCTATGGGAGCCTGGGTCAGGGGCCTGGTCCAGGTACAGCTTGCGGTCCACTTCCTGCCAGTGACCAATTTTTTGGGAAGGATTAAGCCCCCACCAACAGTCTGGTTGCCTTGGCAACAGGGGCGTGGTGCCTTGGTGATTGTGGCATTGCCAGGTTGTTGCTAGGGGCGTGCCCTGGTTGCCCAGGATGTCGCGACCCCAGGTCATCCACAGTGGCCACTTCATGGTGTCGGAGCCGCATGCTGACCCCGAGCTGGATCCGGGGGGCAGGACTGCGGTGGGGAGAATGGCGGAGCGGGTGGGGGCTGTGGAGCTGGGGGCTAGTGGCCAGCGGGAGAGGGCTGGGGCAGGCAAGGGGGCCGCAGTGCCCAGGGACGCCTACGACTTTAACACAGTCAACGCCTGCACGTGCCGGACCTACCGCTGTGGCCCTCAGCAGCAGTGCCCTCAGCATCGACGCCTCTCTCACCAAGCTCTTTGAATGCATGACGCTCGCCTACAGGTGAGAGGGTGGAAAAACGAACCCTGGTGCTAGTGCCCCGGGGTGTGGATCCTGCTTGGGAGGGCTGGGGGTGTGAATCATGGTATTAGTGCCCCCGGGGCACAGATCCCACCGTGGACGGGAGCTGAGAGGGTGAGTTCTCACTGTAGTGCCTCACAGCCTGGATCTCAGTGGGGAGGGGGAGCTGGGAGTGTGACTCTCCAGTAGGAGTAGCAAGGTTATTTTACCTCTGTATTTGACATGGATGTGACCTTCTGGAATCCTGTGTCCAGTTCTGGGGTCCACAATTCAAGAAGGATGTTGATTAATTGGAGAGCGTTCAGAGAAGAGTCACGAGTATGATTAAAATATTAGAAAACATGCCATATAGTGAGAGACTCAAGGAGTTCAGTCTGTTTAGCTTAACAAAGAAAAGGTTAATTGGTGAGTTGATTATTGTCTATAAGTACCTACATGGGGAACAAATATTTAATAATGGGCTCTTCAATCTAGCAGAGAAAGGTAGAACATGATCTAGTGGCTAGATGTTGAAGCTAGACAAATTCAGACTGGAAATAAGGTCTGAATTTTTGCCTGTGAGAATAATTAACCACTGGAACAATTTACCAAGGCTAGTGGTGGATTTTCCATCGCTGGCAATTTGTAAATCAAGATTGGATGTTTTTCTAAAAGCTCTGATCTAGGAGTGATTTTTGGGGCAGTTCTCTGGCCTATATTAAACAGGAGATCAGACTAGAATGATCTGGCCTTGGAATCTATGAATCTATACAGAGGAAGCCATTTGTAAGCGTGACACTTCCTCATAGAATCATAGAATCATAGAATATAAGGGTTGGAAGGGACCCCAGAAGGTCATCTAGTCCAACCCCCTGCTCAAAGCAGGACCAATTCCCAGTTAAATCATCCCAGCCAGGGCTTTGTCAAGCCTGACCTTAAAAACCTCTAAGGAAGGAGATTCTACCACCTCCCTAGGTAACGCATTCCAGTGTTTCACCACCCTCATAGTGAAAAAGTTTTTCCTAATATCCAATCTAAACCTCCCCCACTGCAGCTTGAGACCATTACTCCTCGTTCTGTCATCTGATACCATTGAGAACAGTCTAGAGCCATCCTCTTTGCTCTAACCTTTGCTCTCTTCATCATGCTAGTGCTGTAATTTCCTGCTCCAGGCCTCTGTGGTTTGTATACACTCAATACATCAGCTTTGCATTAGTATCTGCACTGGCTTGCATATATGGCAGCACATGGCATTGTACTGAAGAAGGGCTGCCTTTGCTCTGCCATTGTCAGATCAGGAAGTGGGAAAGAGCATCTCTTTCACGGGGCTGTATAGGTGGTTGCACAACGCTTGGATAAGTCAGACAGCATTTGTAGGCCCTCCTGAGAGGGAAGGAAATCTTTGGTGCAGATGCAAACAGTTCTGTCTGCTAGATTTCTTCAGGGCACCCCCCGTGCTGAGCCTGACTGTACATTTCCACCCTTTCAAAGCTTTTGCTTTAAGTTTAAGCTTAACTCTGAATTTGCTGCAATCGCTATGCTTGGCTTGTGGTTTTTTTATACTACAATATTCCTTATAGGGTGTTTGTTAAGTTACCACTGGAAACCCTCAACCGTAACAGAGATTTTGGTCAGGAAATTTCCATAATTTTATAAATAAGCCTAAGGTACTCAGTGAGAAGCCAGGGGTGTTAATTTTGAAAATAGCAGTAATTTACAGTTAATTAACAGCCCTGAATCCCTCCTCCATCCTCCAGAGCCCGAAGTATTTGATTTTTGTGTACGGTGTCAGTGCAAATTTAGGTTTCAGAGTAACAGCCGTGTTAGTCTGTATTCGCAAAAAGAAAAGGAGTACTTGTGGCACCTTAGAGACTAACCAATTTATTTGAGCATGAGCTTTCGTGAGCTACAGCTCACTTCATCGGATGCATACCGTGGAAACTGCAGTAGACTTTATATATACACAGAGAATATGAAACAATACCTCCTCCCACCCCACTGTCCTGCTGGTAATAGCTTATCTAAAGTGATCATCAGGTGGGCCATTTCCAGCACAAATCCAGTGCAAATTTAGAGGACTGTTTAGCTGGATTATCTCAGTTTGCACTGGGAGCATAGGCACAGTTTGGGATCTGAGAGACAGGGAATGACTTTGCGGGTGTTAATTGACTGTGAATTACAGCTAATTGGCCAGTTAGCACCCCCTGTTTTTCCCTCCCACCCCCCAAAACATCTAAAGTATTTGATCATGCCCTAAGATCCTCTGGATGGGAGGGCTGAAGGGTGGAATATCTCTCTGATCCACTACTTTTTAGCCACCCCCTACACCCCCACAGACTCGCTGCCAGTCACAAACTTCCCCCCACCCCCTACACAATGTAACCTACTGCCAGTCACATACCACCCCCACACCTCCTCCACAGCCTAACCCAGTGCCAGACAAATAACACCCTGACCCCGTGCACAGCCTAACCCCACTGCCAGTCACATACCACCCCCACCCCCTACACGGCCTAACCCACTGCCAGTCACATACCACCCCCACACGCCTCCACAGCCTAACCCAGTGCCAGACAAATAACACCCCAACCCCGTGCACAGCCTAACCCCACTGCCAGTCACAGTCCACCTCCATCCCCCACAGAGCCTAATCCACTGCCAATCACATACCACGCCCACCCTCCTACACAGGCTAATGCACACTGAGTCACATACCACCCCCCATATCTCTAGATAGCCCAACCCACTGCCAGACACATACCACCCCATCCCATTACACTGCCTAACCTACTCCCAGTCACATACCACCCCCACTGCCTACACAGCCTAACCCACTGCCAGTCACATACCATCCCCACCCCCTACATGGCCTAACCCACTGCCAGTCACATACCACCCCCCACACGCTTCCCCAGCCCAACCCACTGCCAGTCACATACCACCCCCCACACGCTTCCCCAGCCCAACCCACTGCCAGTCACATAACATCCCCCACATGCTTCCCCAGCCCAACCCACTGCCAATCACATACCACCCCCATACCCCTCCACAGCCTTATCCACTGCCATTTACTTTCCACCCTCCACATCCTAGCCCACTGCCAGTCATATATCACCCCTACACAGGCTAACCCCCTGCCAGTCATATACCATGACCAACACTACCACACACAGACAACCTGCAGTCTGCATTCCTGGAGCTGTGAGAGTGTGGAGCTGGCCTGGAGAAGACAGGCTCCATGCCCTGGGAACTCTTACATAGTGCACTGTGGATCTGGTCAAGGGTTTAAGAGGAGGTGGAGGGGTTGGGAGAGAGAAACTTTACTCACCCAGGTCTCCTGCATGAAATTCAGGGAGGTGTCCTCTGGGCCATCTGTTCACTAGCTTCCCGAAGCCAGTAGGAGACCAATGGAGCAACCAGCATGCATGATGCCATTGCCTGAAGTTTTTCTTAACTTCTTGGGGTCCCAGCCACATATCTGCGAGCATCTGTGGCTCCCCTTCCCTACAAACCTCGCTAGGGGCATGGTGCCAGCTTCCTATTTACAGGTATGACAACTTGGAAAATTTCACAATGGAGTTCAGAAGCTTGGTGCCTCTCAGTTCGTCTCTACTGGGCTCATGTTACAATCCACTGTGCTGTCCCATCCCCCCCCACTTCCTGGACCAGAGAGAGATCAAATCTAAAGCCATACAAGTGCTTTAAGAACAATCAGATGACTTTGATCAGCCTCTGATTTTCCCAGGCATCCTTTTGCCAGCTGCTTAGTGAATCCACTGCAGTTTGGGTGAGGGGAGCCTCATTTAGCCGGAACCCACTCCCCTAGCTGATTGAGAGCTAAAATTCCACTTACAGGGAATTTCCAGCTTGGGAAAGGAAGGTGGGTGAGGAAAGCTTGTCGGTGCCTGCTGTAGAGCAGCTCCCTGAATCCACCAGCCTCTGGCAACGCCTGCAATACCTTCCAGGCATCGGCAGGCCTCACTCTCTCTGCACAGGTTAGATTCACTGTTCCAGAAGGAATAATACACAACGGCTTGTCAGATTCAACTCAGGATCTCCACTCTACATAACACATAGCACTTAAATATGGTGAAAACAAGAATAAGCTTATTATCATAGAATATCAGGGTTGGAAGGGACCTCAGGAGGTCATCTAGTCCAACCCCCTGCTCAAAGCAGGATCAATCCCCAATTTTTGCCCCAGATCCCTAAATGGCCCCCTCAAGGGTTGAACTCACAAGCCTGGGTTTACCAGGCCAATGCTCAAACCACTGGGCTATCCCTCAAAGAACTGAGATTCATGTGACAGAGAGAGAATACTGGAAACAAACCGACATATAAAACAAAGTCATAACACATTTTCTAGAGACTGATCTTAACTAACAAGGCGTTTCCCTATCTCCTACATGGTCACTTACCCCGGCGTTTTCAGCTAGTTTGGCTGAGACCCTTTCTCATAAAATCAAACTCACTGGTGGCTTGTCCTCACAGGTTGAAGGAATGCCAGGGTGTCTCTCTGTACCCCCAAGTACATCCAATCAGACCTTCAATGCTCATCTGAAGATAGTGTTCCACCCTTGCTGTTCACCTTTTCCTGTTAATTTCCTGCTCAAATCTCCGTAAACTATGGATTAGCATTTTGTTCAGATTTTAAATGGACATTCATTGCCAATGATACAATCCTCAATTTGAAAACGTCTAGTCAGGGTGAGATAAGCATCTCTTCCCTCCTGCCTGCCATGAGTATGTGGGTTACCTTTTGGTGAACTGTCTTAAGTCGTAGACAACATAATTTTTAGTATATGTACATAGCTCTTCACATATTCTCTGTACATATATCTCACAAATGATTGGCAAGACCACTGTGACACAGGGTTTCATTAGAGACATTATATGACATTCTTTTGATGAACCCAGGGGATCCCTGTATTCCTGGGTGCTCCTGTGGCCCCGACAGTTGGTATGAAGAAGTCTTTGGGTCACACCTCCCCTCTTTCATTGAT